TACAAAAAAACGGCTCAAGGGCCTCTCAAGGTAGAGAGTCAGTTAATCAAGGGGATGGTAAGAATTTAAAAGGAGAAATTAGAAAATGAAGATTATAAGGGTAGATAACAAGTGATCCCTGAATTGAAGAGATTGAATTGTTAAGAGAAGCATCCACACGGGAGTTTATTGTACAAAGTAGCAGTTCTGAGTAGAACTTCCTCCTTACAAATGGAATATGTATGAGATGAGAATGTAATTCTTATTTTGTTATTTCATTGTTTATAAATAGACAAAATAATCCACCTTCAGAAAGGATATCAGGTACATCCATGGAGTAAGTAGTTTCCATAAATTAGTCATCCATGGATGATATCTGTCTATATTTCTGAGATGAGGTATTACGTACACTATTTACATTGTTCAAACTATTGTCCTCATCTTTGTCGCCATATTTATTACAACGTTTCGACCTTTCAGTATCTGTCTATATTTCTGAGATGAGGTATTATGTACACTATTTACATTATTCAAACTATTGTCCTCATCTTTGTCGCCATATTTATTACAACGTTTCGGCCTTTCAGTATACATTCGACATTCCAGCCACCTGAAGAAGGCCGGAGCGTTGTACGCTCCGGCCTTCTTCAGGTGGCTGGAATGTCGAACTGAACGCTTTATTTTGCTCATGGGGTAGACTGTTCTTGTTCCACGTGCCATGTTTTTAATGTATGTCCTGTTAATTTCCCTCTGAAGATTCTCCAGTGCCTTAACCGGGTATTGAACTCACAACTCTTTGGGTTTTGTCACTGGATCTAACCAACGCCTTTATCCACTGTGCCATGTGTCCTTGAGGATTCGAATTTGTGAAGAAGCGAGTCTTAGTTGTAATCGTCTGAACTGGTGGAACTAAAAATAGATTGGTTGGTTTTGTTTAACAGCATATCAACACATCTATGGGTTACTTAATGCCGAAATCTAAATATTTTATACGCAATTTTTATCTTTTTGGAGATAATAATGGTCTTAGTGACGCAAGTCTTACTAAGTCTTACACGTATCTGGGTGATGGTGAAGAGGTGGAATCATTCCCTTCCAAAGGGAATTTGCCCGTAATGGAATATAATGATCCTAAGTTCTCCGATACATAATTCCGAGGCATTATTCATTACACCACCCGCATATCCAAGCTTACACCACCCGGTATTCAGAAGCGGTCACCCATCTTGGTACTGAGTAGGCTAGGCGTTGCTTAACTTCGGGGATCGTACGGGAACCGGTGTTTTCACGTGATGTGGCCGTAAGCCTTTGAAAAAGAGTTTTCATCTGGAAATGTCAATTAGATTAGTGATTGGCCTGTGATGTTTTGCCTGCTGGGTAAAAAGTCTGTAGAAGGGAAAATACGTCATCCATCTATCTCTGTTTCTATCTCTCTCACCTACTTCATATCTACCCATCTATCTCAGCCTGTTCAAATCTATCTCGGTCTGTTCATATCTATCTATCTATCTATCTATCTATCTATCTATCTATCTATCTATCTAACACAGTCTGTTCATATCTATCTATCTTTCTCTCTCTCTCTCTCTCTATCTATCTATATATATATATATATATATATATATATATATATATATATATATATATATCAGTCTGTTCATATTATCTATCTATCTATCTATCTATCTATCTATCTATCTATCTATCTATCTATCTGCCTGTTCATATCTATCTATCTATCTACCTACCTATCTCAGCCTATTCATATCTATCTATCTATCTATCTATCTATCTATCTATCTATCTATCTATCTATCTCATCCTGTTCATATCTATCTATCTATCTATCTATCTATCAGCCTGTTGTTCTTATCTATCTATCTATCTATCTATCTATCTATCTATCTATCTATCTCAGCCTATTCATATCTATTTATCTATCTATCTAACACAATATCTATCTTTCTCTCTCTCTCTATATATATATATATATATATATATATATATATATCTCAGTCTGTTCATATATTCATCTATATATATATATATATATATATATATATATATCTGCCTGTTCTTATTATCTATCTATCTATCTATCTATCTCAGCCTATTCATATCTATCGATCTATCTGTCTATCTATCTATCTCATCCTGTTCATATCTATCTATCTATCTATCTATCTATCTATCTATCTCAGCCTATTCATATCTATCTATCTCTCTATTTATCTATCTCAGCCTGTTTTTTATCTATTTATTTATCTCAGCCTCTTCATATCTATCTGTCTATCCCAGCCTGTTCTTATCTATCTATCTATCTATCTATCTATCTATCTATCTATCTAAGCCTCTTCATATCTATCTATCTATCTATCTATCTACAGCAGACTATCATAGATGGAAAGTGATGATTGGGCAGCTGTGACCTAGAAATGGCAGCAATAGCCCGTTTTTAATTCAATCTGACCTTTGTAGAGACAAAAGATGATAGAATGAACCAGGTGCTTTCTAGAGCGGTCGAATGAATGAATCGACCGCCTTTTTGTGGAGCTGTATATATGAATTCCGCTAGAGGCCAGGGATCTTGAGAGTCCCAAAGAACTCAAAACGAAACTACTCTCTCTTAATAGCCTAAAAGAATTCTTTTCATCCTTCCATCAGCATGGCCGATGCTAACCTCCACGAGGATGACTCGGTAATGCCTTCTCCAGCAAACGTTTACCGCTGACTTGAAACGGAAAGATTATATTAAATCAATTGCTAGTCTGCTGCTAGGAAAGTTGGTTCACTTTTTCGTGCTAGACAATTTTTCTTTAATATTGTGAAGTTTACCATTCGTCAATGCGCAGTACTAGATTGGCGGTTAGGTCCCATTATTTTGCCTCCTTAACTTATATTTTTATGGTTCTCGCTCGTTAATAATGTTTTTTTTTTTGTTTTTTTTTTCTGTTCTTTCACACTCAGTAACATCCAAAGAAGGATCTGCAATGTAATCGATCCCGACCCGGCATCTCGGCTTCAGACATTTTCTCACCGACGTGAAGTGGCTTCCCTCTGTCTTTTCTACAAATATTTTCATGGCAACTGTTCTGACTAGCTTTTTCCCTGGAGCCCCGACTCAATGAATTTAAGCGTTTTACTAGATGGGCATCTAAGCCCAACCCGTTTATTGTTGAAATAGCTAAATACAGCTGCCACTTCTACTCCAATGGTTTCTTTTCTTGCACGTCTTGCCCGTGGAACTCCTGATAACTATAAACTTGCTCCCCTGATAAATATAATCTTGAAAAATTTAAATGCGGCATTAATCGCCATCTTTCGTATTTTTTTTCATACCGTTCATCATTTGAATTTTCCTCAGTCTTCCCTAAACCCAGTTTTCTCTTCCAGTTTCACTCTCTATAAACCCCTTCATACTAGCGGCATTCCTGCCTTGCTTGGGGTGTCATGATTAAAAAAAAAATCAATGCGTCTTAGTGGCTTTATTGCATTACTTAGGGTGAAATTAAAAAAAAAAAAATAAATATTTAGCCCTTGCTTTTTTTTTAATGCATTATTTTTGTTATCGATGTTCCTTGTTCCCTGAACACATCTTTCTTTAGCAGTTTTCATACCTAAAAGAAGCCCGACGAGAACATCGTTAGAGGAAAGAAGAGGAAAAGGAATTAGAGGGAGGAGGAAAAGAGGAGATAAGAAGCGGCGTGGTAGCGGGGAGAATCGTTGCGGCGTATTCATTTCCCGCCATTATGGCAGACGAGATTGAATTCTCACCCACGGATGACAAAAAAGAAAGAGAGATAATAAGGAAGAATTAAGCCGAGAGACCATCTGTGATATATTCGTTTGGTGCTGATTAAACTGAACGAAGAAAATATTTAATCTTCGAGCGGAGGAGAAAAGTTGGCTGACAAAACAACAGGGCTTCAGGATTTAAATATGGGGCGTGTGTTACTTTTCCTTTCATTTGCAATTTCTTTCCATAATCTATCTATCTATCTATCTATCTATCTATCTATCTATCTATCTATCTCATTCTGTTCATTATCTAACTATCTTTCTATCTATCTATCTTAGCCTGTTCATATCTATCTATTTAGCTAGCTAGCTAGCTCATTCTGTTCATGATCTATCTCGGTTTGTTCATTATTATCTATCTATCTATCTATCTATCTATCTATCTATCTATCTCAGCCTGTTTATATCTATCTATCTATTTATCTGGTCTGACCTGGTTTGTTTTTGGTGCTTCTGTTATGTATCTAGCAATACTTGCCAAACGCCAGAGAATAATCTACAATACTAATTATCCTCACCTGGCATCTATCTATCTATCTATCTATCTATCTATCTATCTATCTATCTATCTCATCCTGATCATATTTATCTATCCCAGCCTGTTCATATCTATCTCCGTCTGTTCATATCTATCTATTTATCTATCTATCTATCTCCGTTCATCTATCTATCTATCTATCTATCTATCTATCTATCTATGTGTGTATGTATGTATGTATGTATGTATGTATCTATCTATCTATCTCCGTTCATCTATCTATCTATCTATCTATCTATCTATCTATCTATCTATCTATCTATCTCATCCTGATCATATTTATCTATCCCAGCCTGTTCATATCTATCTCCGTCTGTTCATATCTATCTATTTATCTATCTATCTATCTCCGTTCATCTATCTATCGATCTATCTATCTATCTATCTATCTATCTATCTATCTATCTATCTATCTATGTGTGTATGTATGTATGTATGTATCTATCTATCTCCGTTCATCTATCTATCTATCTATCTATCTATCTATCTATCTATCTATCTATCTATCTATCTATCTATCTATCTAGTCTTGCTTGGTTTAGTTTGGCGCTTTTGGTATGTATCTAGCGATACTTGCCACACGCCAGAGGATAATCTGCAATACTAATTATCCTAACCTGGCATCTATGCTTCAATCATTTTTACACCGCCCTAAATTTGCTTTTCTGTGCGTTTTCTAATAATTTCATGGCAATTGTTCTGATGAGCTTTCCTCTTTGCTATCTCGATACCTTTGTCAATTAAGTGATCGTCTTGCTCTTCAAATAGGCTTTTCAAATGGTCTTTGTCGTCGCCGTCTTTGTCGGTTTCTTGCTAATCTTTTTCTACCGAGACATTTCCCTTTCACCGATTTATATGAAACACGAAACTTTTAACACGACAAGAGATTGAACAAAAATCGATTTATATAATACCAGGAGTAATCAATGAATCATAGATACCATTAAATGTCTAAAAAGATATAAATGGAACAGATTAATTGAACGGTTCATTGGCCGCTATTTTAGTTGGGAATTTTTTATCTCCGCTTTATTGAATCTTGATACATTGTTTCAAAATTCCTTGTTTTATTGCATCTCACTATTAAAACATTCTAACAATTGCCGGCATTGTTGACGGCATGAGTACACAAATAATAATAATAATAATTAAATTAAATAATTAACTGTTATTAAAGAACACAAACAAAGAAAAGTGCCTCCTTATTGATATGGCAGTCCCTGCTGACTGCAATATACCTTTGAAGATATTCAAAAAGCTGTCAAAATACAAGGACCTTGAAATAGAAATCTCGAAAATGTGGCACATGGGAACATCAACAATCCCTGTTGTAGTTGGAGCCCTAGGACTGGTTGGAAAAGATTACAGTAGACTAATTGAAGGGATTCCTGGAAGTCCATGCCTCAAGGAGATATAAAAAATTGTTCTGACAAGTACAGCCCACACTTTACGAAGGGCTTTATCTATATAATTTTTTTTTTTTTTTTTTGTCAGTGGAAAGTGTCATGATGCCATTTCTAACCTTAGGTCCCTGGGCGGGACCCTGAAAGAAATGTGTAAACACCAGAAATCAAAGAAAATAAAAATAATAATAATAATAATAATTTTTTGGGACATTACAATACACAGAGACAAAACAATCAAAATTAATCGCCCAGACATCTTGATCAAAGGCCACAAGAACAGAATGTGCTTTCTTATTGACATGACAGCCCCTGCACATTATGGTGTATCTTTAACGATCTTCAAAAAACTATCAAAATACAAGGATCTTGAAGTGGAAATATAAAAGTGTGGTACATAAGGCATCAAAAATTCCAGTTGTAGTTGGAGCCCTCGGATTCATTGGGAAAGGTCCCAAAAGACACATTGAAAGGATTCCTGGTAGCCCATGCCTTAAAGAAATACAAAAAAGTTGGCCTTAAAAGTACAGCTCACATATTACGAAGAGCTTTATCTATGTAATATGTGTTTGATCATAGTTTTTTTTTTTTGTTTGTTTGTTTTTTTTGTTTTTTTTTTGGTGGGGCGGGGTTGTATGAAAATCAACAGTGGAAAATATCATGAGGTATCTGGTTGGGACCCGGAAGTAAATGTGTATACAACAGAAATCAAAGGAAATAATAATAATAATAATAATAATAATAATAATAAAACAATTTCAAAATGGAGTTTCAGATGGGTGCAGAAATACAAGTAGAGCACAATAGACAGACTGAAGCTGAAAAATACTTTAAAAAGGCAGCAAAGACAGATGCCACCGACCAGATACAGAAACAATGGTAAGATAAACCGCTTCATGGTCAATACTCTGCCCGTACCAAACAAGCTGACGTAGACAAAACCCGTACCCATCAGTGGCTACGTAGTGCAGGGTTGAAAGCTGAAACTGAAGGTTTTATCCTTGCTGCGCAGGACCAATGCTTGTTAACTAGGAATTATCAAGCACATATACTAAAATATTGTGTCAGCCCAAAATGCACATTCTGTGATAAATATCCAGAAACGATTGATCATTTTGTATCAGGTTGCACGATATTGGCACCTACTGAGTATAAGACATGACAGGCCAATATCTGCACTAGAAAATATGCAACTTCTACGGGAAGGAAACTGAAAGAAAATGGTATGAACACCACCCAGATCCGGTTACGGAGATAGGCCCTGTAACAATTTTATGGGACTCCACAATACACACTGACAGAACAATCAAAGCCAACCGCCCAGATATTGTTATTAAAGACCGCAAAAAATAGAAGGTGCCTCCTTATTGATATGGCAGTCCCTGCAGACTGCAATGTATCTTTGAAGATCTTCAAAATACAAGGACCTTGAAATCGAAATCTCGAAAATGTGGCATATGGGAACATCAACAATCCCTGTTGTAGTTGGAGCCCTCAGATTGGTTGGAAAAGATTCCAGTAGACAAATTGAAGGGATTCCTGGAAGTCCATGCCTCAAAGAAATACAAAAATTTGTTCTGACAAGTACAGCCCACACTTTACGAAGGGCTTTATCTATGTAAAATATGTCTGTTTTTTTTTCTTGTTTTTTTTTTTGTTTTTTTTTTTTAATTGGTCAGTGGAAAATGTCATGATGCCATTTCTAATCTTTGGTTTCTGGGCGGGACCTGGAAAGAAATCAAAGAAAATGAAATAATAATAATAACAATAATAATAATAATAATAAAAGTGACCAATAAAATGAAATTACCAGTTATCGCTTCCTCTGAAGTTAAAATGCAATCAAAACCCTTTCCTTTATCATTTCTGTGATATTTCACTTGAATCGGCCGCTTAGGAAACCACTTCGATATTTATTTTTCTTTTTTTCTTTTTCTTTAACGGTAAGGTTCACATTGTACATAGCCTGGGGAAGGGACACTTGAGGTAGAGGTTTATGTTACGGGGAAAGTTGTACGGATAGGCGGGGAAGATAACGGTTAACCCTAGACTTGAAAAGGCTAAGATCGTAGAGACTGGGGAAACATCCTCTTGGGAATCGGTTCCAGATAATAGTAGTTTGCGGGAAGAAGCTGTTCAAGTGGAACTACCTTCTCACCGATGGATTAAGGAAGGAATGAAAGTGTTTGTTACACCTTAAAGGGCATGGACTAGCCGTAGAAGTTAGAACTGGCGAAATGTAATTCGTCCGAGCACTTTTCGTAGAATTAGCGATAGAGTAGCAAGAGGCTTGCCAAATCTAGAGAGAGAGCGAGAGAAAGAGAGAGAGAGAGCGAGAGAGAGAGAGAGAGTGTGTGTGTGTGTGTGTGTGTGTGTGTGTGTGTGTGTGTGTGTGTGTGTGTGTGTGTGTGTGTGATGGGAAATAATTAGTCACCCAAACAGTCTATACAACAAAATACCCAGTTCTTTTGTCGCTGTGTTCATTTAAACTAAGATCAGTAAATATTTATGGGTACAACCATTTTTATTTTACTAAAGTTCACCCAATACAAGAACCACTCAAGGAATACGGTTACCTAAGAAGGCCGTGGTCTGAGCAGTCAGATTTAGAGGTAAGAGGTGCAATTTATGCAGACTTCCAGAAAGATAACGGTTACTATATTTTCCGGCTCACAAGAAGCATTTTTTCCTAATTATTAGCCTATTAACCTTTTATCTCTTTTTGACAAATTACTAGAGGCCCTAATCAACTGTGAATTGTTTAAGCATCTCACATCGTAGGGCCATCTTTCAGACAAGCAATATGGCTTTCGATTCTCTAGGTCAACTCTTGATGGACTACCGATTATTTGATACAGTTCTTTGATTGAGATTCTGTCACACCCTGAAAAATACGTGTGTGTATTCCAAGGCAACACCCAAGCTCAAGTAAGCTTGGACTGTCACTTAATTGGCTTGACTGATATGGACGTAGATTTGTATATTGAGTCATTACACTATAATGTTAGCTATCTAATTCAGCCTTTTATATGATGTAACCTCAGCACTTAGCTGTTACAAATATTTCCAAGACTATAAACCTTCCTGGAGCCGAGCCACAAACTTAAACATGCTCTGTTTACTAGCGGCGGCGGGAGCCTTTATGCTCTTAACTAGTATGTCTTTGATATACAAACAAAATCGGACGAGTGATTAATGTAAACAATACGTGGTACCTGTATGTGAGGGACGCATGATGAATGTTTTATGAGAATGACTTTTTCTTCTTAGAAATTTCTTTCCAATATTAGGGTGCGTCTTTCAAGCCGCAGTATCTTGAAAGCCGGAAGATACGGTAGTTCTTGTCTCAAAGAGGTTAAGGTAGTGGTCGGCAAACGCATTTGCCAGGGATATGTTCGATAAAGTAGTAGTTCTTGGAAAGAAGCTGTCCAAATGGAACTTCCTCCGTGCTAATGGAATATGAAATGAATGGGGATAGTTCGACGCTGTATAAGTGAGATGGTGGGTAATAGCTTTGATGGTTAGCTTTGGTGTTATATATGTCGGGACATTTACCATGGAAATGACAATAGAATATCGACCTGCTTCCAATATTTCGTAGGTAGGAAAACAATTCATCACCCAAAAGGCCGTGTAGACGGTTTTAAATTCTATCAAGACTTGAGAGATGGGCAGCTCAAGCACAGATATAGCAGTAATACACCATTTTCGGTCAGTTGTAAAAATTAAAGCACAGCAGAAGGAATCAAATACTTACTGAAAAGTGACCCTTGTGAGTTGCGCTGTGCCAGACAAAGCTTTCATAAGTCACTGGGTAATATAACTGTTACTAGTACGAAAAAAATTCAAAATCTAATTTCAACGGAGTCTGCTTGTGTTCCTTTAGGACGAATATGCTTGGCAAAGACATGAGTCTTGATGTCTGAAATAGACGGATATATTGGCAAAAAAAAAAAACATCTTGTCGTAAAAAAAAGAAGTGTGTGGGTGATTACTTGTACAAATTGCTCTCCCATAAATGATGCGGAGAGCAGTAATGACGTTAAAACATCGGTAGATCACCAACATCGATTTCAAACGAGATATGATAAACAGCAAAGTGAGCAGGCCCCAGATAGATAGATAGATAGATAGATAGATAGATAGATATAGGAATGAATTAAGGAAAGAAGAGACGATCATAGATAGATAGATCGATATGAACAGACCAAGATAAATACATATGAACATGCTGAGATAGATATTAACAGATATGTACGTATATTTGTGAGTGCATGTGTGTGCATGTGTGTGCATGCGTCTCTCTCTCTTTCTCTCTCTCTCTCTATATATATATTTATATATATATGTGTGTGTGTGTGTTTTTTGTGTGTGTATGTATGTATATGTGTATATATATATGCATATATGTTTATATATATATATATATATATATATATATTTGTATGTATTTATATATATAAATACATATGTATAAGTTTGTGTGTGTTTGTGTATGTGTGTATATATGTATGTATATATATACAAATAAAATAAAATAGTTATAACCTAAACTTTCATAATTACTACCCTGACAGGATAAATCCAAATAAGCTAAACCAAAAAAAAAAATTATTAACTAGTAAACAAGAAAAACGGAATAATGGGTAGAAGAAGACATATAAGCAAATATTTACTTTGTCATTTAAGTTTCAATTAAAAAAAAATAATGCAAGGTTGTACGCCCCACATAACCAGCAGCACACTGGCAATTAAACTCATATACTAAATTACTCAATTTGATGTAGGGCAATACATCCTTGCGAAACGATGGAAACACAGACCTAGTTCGAAAAATGCTACGTAAAGCAACTGATGGGAAACAACTGGAAACCGACTTGCTAATTTGCATTTGAAAACTAGAATCAATCAGCATGTACCTTCCAAAATACGATTTGGTAAGATAGATAAAATATGCTATCTTCCCCCCCCCATGAATATGGAAACGGCTATTGCCCAACACTTAGTTGAGAATATAGCCTGCGCCAAGTCGTTTAAAAGGGAGTGGTTTAAAATTATTCATACAGCCGATTCCAATAATCATTTGAAGATTTTGGAATCGGTCTGCATAGGATTAAGGAAACCTTCTCTCTGCCGGCAGAAAGAATTTGTAAAGTCTCTTAATCTGTTGGGGAATATTTTATTTTAACTGTCCCTCGCTAATTTTATTTACACGTTATTTCCCCTCCCCTCGTTACAAGTATATACACTTGTTTGTTATTTTAGTGTGTTTCCCCCACTTTTTTGCTCTTCATTGTCGTTAATATTCTTTTCGTTGATTAATTATCCCACGATTGTCTCCTGATGAGATGTTGGTTGAAAGGGCATTAGAGACTTTTAAAATTAAAATCAACACATTCCTTGTTTTTAAAACTATATATAAATTTTGTACCTCTAAGCATTTGTTATATATATATATATATATATATATATATATATATATATATATATATATATATATAGTAAAATAAAATCCGTTGGTATATAATCCAAGTGGATCCTAGTAATATAAAATATTAAAACTGATCCGCAAAATCAGTTTGTGATCCATATGAGGTGATTTGGGATGTTATTGTTTTTCACAGTCACTAAATCTACTTTCAAAATCTACCACAACTGTAGAAGTCATAACATAATTTACCTCTTAGAATGCACACTATGCCAGAAACAATATGTGGGAAAATCTGAATGGCCCTTTCACTACGGAATTAATAATTTAGCTCCCAACGAAAAATTATTACCTGTAGAACAATATTTCCGCCTAGAAAAACACGATTTTAAAACCCATACCAAATTCACTATAATTGAAACAATAGAAACAGACAGAAAAGATAACATTAGAAAAATTTTAGAATGGAAGACAAATGAATTTTGCACCTCAAAACACTTCGTCCAGTCGGACTTAACTACAAATGAAACAACGTATATAGAATTTATATATAACCCCATAAATCAAACCCTACCTACATTTCTCACCCACACTAGACAGACATGCTTACGGAGGTGTTGTGGTCTTACACTTATACACACACCCATACGCCCATATATACACTTACATCATACACACTCCCAAAAAACTAAAATATAACATACACTTAACACACACATCCCCTTCCCAGCAACCAATAAAATTGTCAAAATGACCAAAGGAATTTTGAGTTTAATGAATCTCCCCATCCTCTGTATTAAATAACAACTGAAAAGAGGCCGTTTGAACAACACAAGGACTGACCAAAATTCATGTTAAAAAAAGTTAAAAAAAACAAAAACAAATGAAAACTACAGATAAAGTTCATTTTCTTCAGAAAGGCATTCATGCCCGTACTTCACTGCTACTAACAAGCAAGATTTTTTTTCCTGATGATGACCATGCTGGCCGAAATTAGTCGAGGAACCTAACTGAAACAATAAAACAAAAAAATATTAATATACAACTCAGTGTGTTTGAAAATATTATTTTATTTTTTAATAAAATTGTTCAAAACATATATATATCTTTATATATATATATATATATATATATATATATATATATATAGTCGACTCTCCCGTCGAATTCGACGTATGAGGGTCAAGCAGATCAGTTTTCCAGGAAAGCGACAGCCCGACAACGGCACATGAGATTTGATTATAGTGGTGAAGGTTTCGTGCAGGACCATTCACACTTTTTGAAGGGACGAATACAGAGACCTGGTGCACCGAATGCCACAAGGTTCCCAAACGACCCTCCGCGGGTTTTGAATTCAGAGTTGTCCTTCTCCTAGACCAGTTGCCATCCAAGGCTATAGAACCCAGTCTGTCCTGCTATTTACCCATAGCTGGAGGGAGAAGAAGAGGATTCACACCTTTCCCAAGGGTATAAGCAGAATGTAACTGGATTCGACTGGAATTCGAACTCGTCTCTCCGATTACTCAATCTTGATTACTTGAATCAAGCCGAGCTTCTCGACTTGACGGTCAAACTTTCTGCCTCTGAGAAGAAAGGAACCCGAACGAGGTTCCGCCGAAGGGCAGAGTCTCGTTCGGGGAGAAATGACCAACCCGATCTCGTTTATACGAGTTATACGGGCATTTTTTGGCCGAGCCTACGGACTCGGAAAACCCACGATAAACTCGGCCTTGTGCCACATGCAACCCTCGTGGGCGGGGGGCTAGATACCGATTACTCAATCACAATTCCGCTATACATTACTCCACCGTGCCTCCTCTCACTCTCTCTCTCTCTTTCTCTCTTTATATATATATATATAATGTTCATCTGATGCAATATTCTCGTTATCGCGTAGATCTGTTAGTACGTCTACATATTTTAACACATTTCAATGTATTCATTTTTTTTATCTATTTTTTCAGTCTATGTATATCTATATATCGATCTTTTCATTCTTCTTTATCTATCAGTCTATCAATCTATTTTTCCAGTTTCTTCATTTCCTATGTATTTTCTCGGTTTCCATCTATCTATCTATCTATCTACGTATTTTTTGTCTTTCTCATTCTCCATATAAAGCAGACGGAGACAAGTAAAAATCAAACTCCTCTACATCTGTGAGTGTTCATATTAACATTCTATTTGAGTCTATAAAGACATAAAATATAAAGAAATCTCTTCGTACATACACCAGTGCAACGTTCATTTTCATTTCCTCTGGCGTTTAAACATTTTTATTATTATTATTACTATTATTATTATTATTCTATGACTCACTCTAATAGAATCAGCACACTACATTTGTTTAAATATCAAGGCTGTATGAGCGCATGGTCAGCCGGATGTACATCCCAGAACGGAAGTGAACAACCGACACAAAACACGTGTTTTAATGGCGTCACGAGCTTAAACAAACACAAATTGGATATTCCTATCAACATCTGCCAATCTTCTTGAAGAATATCGATGTTCGAAATCCCAGTACCGAAAACATCAATATCAGCGGAGGGGGGGAGGAGAAGGAGTAGAAGAATTTGGAGGAGAGGGAGAAGGAGGAGGAGAAGGAGAAGGAGTAGAAGAATTTGGAGGAGAGGGAGAAGGAGAAGGAGAAGGAGAAGTAGAAGGAGTAGAAGAATTTGGAGGAGAGGGAGGAGGAGAAGGAAAGAAAAGTCAGAAATTGGTGACAAATAGATTTATTTGTTTATTTGTTTGTTTTTAATGTGCTTCTATTTAGGGCTTCTTGACATTTTTTTTTTCAGTCCACACTTAGAAATCAAAATGGACGACCGGAAGGCAATGAATTGCTTGATGTCTACCATTTGGCTTCCAGTATCCGCTTCTTCCGTCCAATCGGATATTGCTTATATCCGAATGCAAATTAACCATTCTCTGAATGTGAAGTCAAGATAGGTTTAAGCATCCACTTCAGAACGAGACGACATTCAAAAATTCAGATTTAAAAATTGTATAACCGTGTTTTGTTTAATGTTTTCTATTTTTAATGAAATGAATTCATTTTCTTCATTCTGTTTTCTTCATTCTGTTTTCTTCATACAAAGCCGTTAAATAATAAAAAAATACATGTGCGACATCATTTCGTGACATATTTTACGATTGTTTTTGGTAAATAGTTAGGGTCGCATCACAAATTTCAACGGTGAAGACGAAGATAAGCAACACATATATATACAGAGTGCGATAGATAAACTGTCGTCTAAATTACACAAAAATGGAAATAACACTGACATCTCAATTTTAACAAATATATTTACCAAAATTACACAAAAGTATTTTGAAATAATGAAAAGTAAATTTATTTAGCATATATATATATATATATATATATATATATATATATATATATATATATATATATATATAAATGGGGTGTGATGCATAAATTGTCGTCCAAATTACGCAAAAATGAAAATAACACTGACATCTTGTTTTGAGATATATTTACCAAAATTGCAGAAAAATATTTTGAAATACTGACGAGTAAATTTATTCAATATATATATATATATATATATATATATATATAGTCTTAAGGTGTGCTATATTTATGGATAAAGTGCTCAATATCAGAAATAGAACGTGTGAAAATATAAAACACTTAGAGGCCTCTAAGTGTTGATCTCAATGTTCACTTTTACACACACACACATATATATATATATATATATATATATATATATATATATATATATATATATGGTCTTCGATGCAAAAATTGTCTTCTAAATTATACAAAAATGAAA